GGGCTGCACTGGGGGGGGGAAACTAAACCGTGGTCCTCTCCATGGGCTGCAGGGGAGTCTCTGCTCTTTGATCCCTGCAGCACCTCCTCTTCCTTCTTTTTCACTGACCTTGGTGTCCAAAGGGCTATTTCTCTCATACATTTCTCGACCCTCTCTCACACAGCTGCTGTGCAGTGTTTTTAACCTTTCTTAAATATATTATTGACAGAGGTGCAACCAGCGTCAGCGATGGGCTCAGTTTTGGGCAGTGATGTGTCTGTTTTGGAGCCAGTTGAAACTGTCTCTGTCTGAGATGGGGAGAGCCTCTGGTCTGTTTTCACAAAGGCCACTCTGCAGTCCTTGTGTCACCAAAACCTTGTCACATAAACCAAATACACTCCATTTCATTTTTATTTCTGGGAGATAGAGAATTCAGTCTACACAGAATAATAACTAATTATTATTATGTCCTTGTTACAGAAACATATTCACATTCTTATAAGCATCACTGCATTGCCCAAAACAAAGCCTATGACAAAAATAAGCCCGGTAATAATTCCAAGTCATTCTTCAAGCAGAGCAAGACAGGAAGTCCTGAGGTCTGCAGAGCTAACACAAAGTCTAGGACTCGCCAATTGCAATGCCAAGACCATATTTCTTTATCTGTAGCACTGTGTCAACTTCCTCCTGTCAGGGCTTGCAGTATAATTGTGGTTTTCTCAAAATTAGCTTGGTTGCAGGCAGGACCAATTAACTCTATACTAGACACGTTTATTATGGATATTGAAGAACTGACATTTGCTTTCACACCGTAGCAAATCCAGAGGCTTCCTTGACAAGAAGCGAGCAGGAATGGATCATCTTTATTCTCTTGTGCAAATCCAGACTCATTCTTGGATCATAATGGGTATGGAAATGCATTGGTTTCCAGCCTCAAGGGTGTGCCCAACACAGCTGTCCTAGGGCAACTGGAGATAAGGTAGGCACAAGCACTGAACATCATCCCTCCGTGTCATACATTTTAGGTCCTGTGTACCAAGCAGGATGGCTAGAGCAGGTGGACACTAATTTTTTTCATACAAACACAGGTCTGTGCACTACTCCTGACTTCTAGTCCAAGGTTGCTTTGTGACTGTTCTGTTTTTCTCTAGGATAGAGTTAATTTTCCTCAAAATAGCTCATAGGGTGCTATGTTCTGGATTTGTGCTGAAAACACTGTTGATCATACAGGGATGTTTCAGTTATTGCTTACACAGAGACAAGGTCTTTTCTGCTTCTCACATCACCCCACCACCGAGGAGACTGGGGGTGCACAAGAAATTAGGAGGAAACACAACTGGTTCCACTGACCCCCAACTGACCAAAGGGATATTCCATACCACATGATAGCATGTTCAGCAATAAAACTAGGAGGAAGGTTGGCTGCTGCTTGGAGAATGGCCAGGCATCAGTAATTTGGTGTTGAGCATTTGTTTTCATTTGCATTAACACCATTGTGTTTCTGGTATTTTATTTCTCTCTTTTTGTTATTTTCATTATGATTTAGCATTATTATTTCATTTCAATTATTAAACTGTTTTTATCTCAACCCACAAGTTTTCTCACTTTTACTGTTCCCATTCTCCCCCTCCCATTCCCGTGGGGAGGAGTGGCAAGTTCCGGGTTCCTTAGTTGCCAGGTGGAGTTAAACCATAACAGTCCTCTTCTGTGCTCCAAGTGTAGCTTGAACACACAACCCCAACATTATGAGTCTCACGTTCCACTGACTGAGCTAGCTGGGGAATGGGATACTTGCTGCAGCTGTTGGAGGTGTCCAGATCTGACTGGCAACTGGCTCTTCCACATAGCAGTTCTGCTGTGAGGACAGTCGTGGGCACAGTGCTGGATGTAGGCAGATGTATTCCCCAGAAGGTTATTGTTTTCACTATTTAACACTTTCTAACGGAGACATGCAACAAAAGCTGTCAATGACTTCAGCTCAGGTCAACTGAGGAGAGTTTTGTCAAATCCAAAGCCATCATTACCCTGGTTATTACCACAGTCTGGTCTCCCCCTTTAAGTATGCCAAAGAGGTGGGAAATTGTGAAGAGTTCATTTGTGCTTTCTTGTTTCTTTTCTGCTCACTGAGACCACTGCAGCATGTCGGGGGCAGTCCAGAGCTTTCAGGTAACCCCGTCCTGTAGCATGGATCTGTGCTTGTTTTGTCCCTCCAGCATTAAAGAGAATCATCTGGTGAGGGGGGGCTGGGCACATGAAGTTCAGCAATGCCAAGCGCAAAGTCCTCCACTTGTCTTGGGGCAATCTCCAATATCAATACAGGGGATGAATGGATTGAGAGCAGCCTTGCAGAGAAAGACTTGGGATAGTGGAGGATGAAAAACTGAGCTGGTAATGTGTACTTAGAGCCTAGAAAGTCAGTCATATCCTGGGTTGCGTCAAAAGAAGTGCAGCCAGCAAGTCAAGGGAGGTGATGCTCCCCCTCTACTATGCTCTTGAGACCCCCCATGGTGTACTGCATCAGGCTCTGGGGCCTCCAGAACGAGAAAGACACAGATCTGTTGGAGCAAGTCCAGAGGAGCCCACAAAGGTGCTCAGAGGGCTGGAGCACCTCTGCTATGGGGACAGCCTGATAGAGCTGGGCTTGTTCAGTCTGGAAAAGAGAAAGTTCTGGGGAGACCTTATTGCAGCCTTTCAATAAGGAGGATTTGCGAGTAAGACAGAAAGACCTTTTAAGAGAGCTTGTGGTGACTGTACAGTTTTGAATTGAAAGAAGGCAGATTTAAATAATATGTAAGGAAGAAATTTTTTATGAAGAGCGTGGTAAGACACTAGCACAGGTTGCCCAGAGAAGTTGTAGATGCCCCATCACTGGAAAGGTTTAAGGCTAGGTTGGATGGGGCTTTGAGCGACCTGGTCTAGTGAATGATGTCCCTGCCCATGGTAAGGGATTTGAACAAGGTCACTCTCTGGAACTTCAGGGCTCTGAAGGTCACTTCCAATCCAAACCCAAACCATTCTCTGATACTATGATTCTCACATGTCTGAGCAGCAGTTTTGGGCAGGCTTTGTCCCTTGACAGAAGCAGAAGTGTGGGGCTTCATCAGGTGCTGGTGCTGGGGCTCTGTTACAGGTTGGGACTGACTCGTGGCAGGTTTCTTGTTAGATGGATATAGTGCAGTTGTGAGGAGGAAGTGAGAAATGGCATGCTGGATTTTGTCTTTCTAGGAAGTTCTATCCAGTGAAACACCATGAGAGAAAAGTATGTGGAGGGAAAATACAAGTTTGAGACATATCCAAAGTTCCCTTAAAACTGTCTTTTTTTGACAGTTTACATTGTAGGACCTACTAGGCTGCACTCAGGTACAGCCATCTGTACTTTACAGGGGAGTTAGAAAGAGAATGTGCATACAGCCTGCAAGCACCTCCAGCTAACATCACCATTGTGACAGAGGCTGGGCAGACCACATTGTGTATGGAGAGTAGCTCCTGCTCACCCACCCACCTGCCAGTACATGCCACACAAGAAGCCAGGTGTTCCATCTTTCATCCTGTGAACCACAGGGATGCCTTTTCCTGTCCAAATAACTCCTAGTCTCAGATTTCCAGCTGGTTCCTCCTAGAAACCCAGTTTCTTCTTTGCTTACCACAGGACCTGCGACTTTTATACAGCTGGTGGTGAGAGGGATAAGGACAGCTGAGGGCTGCCCAGGGAAGTGGTGGAGTCACCATCCCTGGAAGTGTTCAAAGAAAAGAGTGACGTGACACTTAGTGCAACGATTTAGCTGACATGGTGGTATTTGGTCAAACTTGATGATCTTGGAGGTCTTTTCCAATCTTAATGATTCTGTGACTATGACAGAGTGGGCTATGGGGGAAGGAAGACAGATGGACAGAGAGGTAGAGCAATGACTATGGCTGTGTTCACAGGCAGGGACAGATGATTAGGTGGACTGAGCTGCAGATAGGTAGGTAGAAATATCTCCAGCACTTCTTACTATTTCAGAACAGCCACCAATGCATCTTGCTTACAGGCTGGTGTCACCCTCTGCTCTTCACAGGACATGGATAACAGCAGATGACAAAACAGGCTTCTGTGTGTCCGAAAGCAAAGGCTGCCCCAGCTGCCTGCAGGTGGGAAGTCGAGTCTCCAACGTGTGTTTTATCACATCTCAGAAGAGACATTTCAAGTGCAGTGGCAGAATTACATCCTTGAAGGAATTTCTTTTCCCATGACCCTGAAGAGACATGCAGGAAGGAAGGTGTCAGAGGTGAGGGAGACTCAGCATCAATGAGAACAGCCCCTGCCTCATTCCCAACTGCACAATTCTTCATTTTTGATTAGCAATATTAATAATCAGTTAACAGGATGACAGAATCATAGAATCCCAGATGGGTTTAGGTTGAAAGGGACCTTTAAAGGTCATCCTGCCCAACTCCCCTACTATGGGTAGCAACACTTTCCACTAGACCATGTTGCTCCAAGCCCCGTCCAACCTGGCCTTGGACACTTCCAGGGATGGGGCAGCCACAGCTTCTCTAGGCATTTATTTCAGCTCTTTTAACGAACTAATTCATTGCCCTGACGAACTCCTCGGGTTACCGTCTGCCCGCTCCTGCCCAGGTCAGCGTTGTACCTGCTGCCGGGGTGCTCCCGCTTGGCTGCGCAGCCCCTCGGCTTTTTTCCGTTCCCTCGTGTCTCCCGCTCCGCTCCACGCGGGTTTTCCAGCTCGTTCCAGGGAGCGGCCCCGCCCCCTGCGGCGCTGGCCCTTTTAGTGCCCCTCCCTTCCGCCGGGGGGCGCCGTCTGCGGGGGGAGGAAGGGCGCGTGCGCCGTTGGCGCTGCCAGGCGCATGCGCGGCTCAGCCATGCGGGTGGTGGTGGGTGAGTGGGGGGGCCTTGCTGAGGGGGGACAGTGAGGGAAGGGGGACAGTGAGAGCGTGCGGGGGACAGTGAGAGCGTGCGGGGACACCGTGAGCGTGCGGGGTCAGTGAGCGTGCGGGGGACACCGTGAGCGTGCGGGGAGACCTTGAGCGTGCGGGGTCAGTGAGCGTGCGGGGTCAGTGAGAGCGTGCGGGGTCAGTGAGCGTGCGGGGTCAGTGAGCGTGCGGGGTCAGTGAGAGCGTGCGGGGACACCGTGAGTGTGCGGAGAGACCTTGAGCGTGCGGGGAGACCTTGAGCGTGCGGGGAGACCGTGAGCGTGCGGGGACACTGTGAGTGTGCAGGGGGACCGTGAGCGTGCGGGGTCAGTGAGCGTGGGCAGCCCTGTGATCGCGGCGCAGTTTTGAAGGGGAACCAACCCCCTCTCCCGCCCATGGTGCGGGGCCCGGCGGGGGGGCGCCCTGGGCCCGCAGTGATGCCCCCGCATCCGGGGTCCAGATCCTGGGTGACGGCCTATCTGTCTCTCCCCAGGTGGAGGGACTGGCTTCGTGGGCAGAGCCCTGACCCAGCTGCTGCGGAGCCGCGGGCACCAAGTGACCCACGTGTCTCGACAGGGGGGCAAGGATCGGATCAGCTGGGTGCGAGATGAGAGCGGTCACAGGAGGGGGCCGTGGCAGGGCCGAGGAACAAGCCCGCTGGCCCTGGCCTGCCATGGCATAGAGGGAATCTGCCGCAGGGAATCTGACTCCTATGGATGTACTTTTGGGCTCCTGGGTGCTCCATGGGTCACAGTCATTGGAATGGGTACTGCTGTAGTTCCAAGGAGCAAAACCTTCTCCATTCATGCTTGTGCTCCAGGCAGTGTCAGGAAGGAACTGGCTGGAGTTCATAGGAGCCTGCCCTGCTTGGTTGTTGGGAAGGCTTGAGCAGAGGGGAGGCTTGATATGTGATGTTTCTGTTACTCCTGCCTAGGAAGAGTTGTCCCGCACTGGACTGCCCCTGTGTGATGCCGTGGTCAACTTGGCTGGCGAAAATGTGCTCAACCCTTTCCGCAGGTAACTTGATCTCCCATAGTGCTGTTGGGACAAGGTGAAGGCAAGACAGTTCGGTGCTTGTCAGGGAATGTGGAAAGGGAGGAAACAACATGTCCAGGAAGCTCTTGGGTTAACTAACTGTTGACATCTGTATCCTCAGGTATCCAAAACATTTCTGTGGGCCTGTTAGGTCCTGAGAGACCTTTGGAAGAAAGGTTCCTTTCTGAATCTACAGCTGGAAGTCAAAAAAATTAGTTCTACTTTTCCAAAAGGACATTGGATGCCTCCATTTGATAATGCAAAATCAGAACCAAAGTTTGACTTCTATGAGGAACACCATCTCTGTTGTCCAGCTGCTCTGCTGCCTTTGTCCTAAGGCAGTCCAAAACTCACAGTGTTTTGAGGGAAGTGAAGAGCAACCATCTCCCAAAGTTCCCCTGCATTTAGGTTATAAGGTCACATGTCCTCCCGCTGCTCTGGGGTGGGGGGGAGTTCCCATGACTCCTCCTGTGCTTGTGAGCAGGTGTCTGCCGGGTTCCCGCTTGGTGCTGTTGTTTCCTAGGTTATCCTTGTGAGGAATATAATCTGTGGCTCTCCCTTTCCCAGATGGGGTGATGCCTTCTGCAGGGAAGTCATCAGCAGCCGGGTTGAGACCACAAAGACCTTGGCCAAAGCCATTGTTGATGCTGAACAGCCACCCCGTGCTTGGGTCCTCGTCACTGGCGTAGGTATTGGTTGGGCCCGGCCAAGATATGACTCATGCTGACCTGGAGAGGTTTTACCTCCAGACAGAAACACGCTTCCAGGGGAACACATCTTGCCCTGAAATGTCAGCTTTATTGCCATCAACGTCAGTGTGTTTAGGCAAACCTTGATCAGCTTTTTGGTACTGCTGAAGAGGAATCTGAGTCCATATGCTTTCTCTTGGTGTCATTAGGACAGCACCTTTTCTGTGTTTTCCTGGGAAAGCCTCTAGGCATCCTGTAGAACCGATTTGTTTAGACAAATTGTAGCACCTCAACTGAATGCCTCTGCATATCTCCAGCTTTGCATTTTTGCTTGCTACAGTCTTGAAAGCTGATGTAGTTTATCTTCTGTAATGCCCAATTTTAGTGCAGGTGCCGTTCTGTGCAGCCAGTTCAGTGTGTTGCCTGCAGGCCTACTTGGTTTTTGGGGCTGCCAGCTCAATCTCAGTATTAGTGTATCCCACTGAACTCGTAGAGCACATCGGTAGTTGAAAAACTCATCAGCATTGCCCTGTGCTGTTCATATGGGGATGTCCCTGGTGGAGTGATGAAGTTCACGGAATCGTAGAATCCCAGAATGGTTTGGACTGGAAGGGACCTTAAAGACCATCCAGTTCCACCCCTCTGCCATAGGCAGAGACACTTTCCATCAGACCTGGTTGCTCCAAGCCCCGTCCAACCTGGTCTTGAATGCTTCCAGGGATGGGGCAGCAACAGTTTCTCTGGGCAACCTGCGCTAGTGCCTTCCCACTCTCACGGAAGAATTTCTTCCTAGTATCCAATCTAAACCTACTCTGTTTGAAGCCATTTGTCCTTTTGTCAGTCATTGTCAGTAGTCTCTCTTCAACTTTCTTGTCGGCTCCCTTCAGGCACTGGAAGGCCACAAGTAGGTCACCTCGAAGCCGTTTCTTTTCCAAGCTGAGCAATCCCAATTGTTTCAGCTTTTTCTCATAGAAGTTCTGGGCTCCTGAAGGCAGGGAAGATGGTCCATTGGGGAAGGGGGGGTTGGTCTCATCATTCAACCCTGACCCCATTTCTGCTGTTACCCTTCAGGCTATTACTGCCCCAGTCCCACAGCTGAGTATACTGAAGACAGTCCTGGAGGGAATTTTGACTTCTTCTCACGCCTGGTGAGCTCCTGGGAGGCTGCAGCTCTCATCCCTGGGAGCCCAGCTCGTGGAGTTGTGGTGAGATCAGGTGAGATCAGGTCCCTGAGGGGCCTGTTAAGGGTGACTGCATTGGTTCTGGTGCAGAAGTGTGAAGAGGTGGGAAAAGGCCATCAGTTCTTCTGTCTCTTCTTGCTGGGGTCCTGTTCCAATCCAGCCCTCTAAGGAGTGTCTCCTGCTTGTAGGTCTGGGCATGAAGGAGGCTTTTGCCGTTTTGGGCAGGGGACCTGGTCTCACTCTCTTCTTCCCACAGGTGTAGTGCTGGGTCGAGGTGGTGGTGCAATCTCTCAAATGCTTTGGCCTTTCCGTCTGGGACTTGGAGGCCCCTTGGGCTCTGGGCTCCAGCCCTTCCCATGGATCCATATTCGGGACCTGGCTGGGATTGTGTGTCACGCCCTGGAGAGTGAGTGCCTGCAAGGTGTCCTCAACGGTGTTGCCCCGTCCTCCTCTGCCACCTCCAACGGCACCTTTGCTCGGGAGTTTGCTGCAGCCCTGGGGCGCCCAGCCCTGCTACCAGTGCCTGCCTGGGCTGTGCGGGCTGTCTTTGGGGCAGAGCGGGCTGTCATGCTGCTGGAGGGACAGAGGGTGCTGCCGAAACGCACCCTGGAGAGTGGCTACTGCTTCATCTTCCCTGACCTGGCTGGAGCTCTGAAGGAGATTGTGGCTTGAGGCTTCCTTGGCTGGGCTGGGCCGGGCCCTGTTTTTGTGAGCTCACATGCACTCACCTGGGTGAAAGAGGGGAGCCCTGCCCCTTGACACTTCCCCATCCCCATCCAGAAAGAGTGAGCGATCTTTTCCCCATCTGTCTCCCTGTGTGCACCCCCAGTTTGAGTCATCCCTCTTACTGCCATCTGCAATCTCTGCGTTAGCTGCATTGCATTTGGGGAAGGGCACAAGCCCCTCAAAGGATTGTGACTGTGGAATTGCACATCTTTCTTTTTCCACAATGTGCATGTGAACTGCTGGCAAAGTAGCTGGGGGTGGGATGTCTTCTTCCCTGAGAGGTGGGTGGCAGCAGGAAACTGGTTGTAGTTATTAGCTGTTGTAATTCTTCCGTGGTACTGGAAGTTTTTCCCCATCTTTCCTTCATGATGACATAGAAACCTACTTACGCTCTTCTGCTTTGCCTTTCTCAATCTCAGTGGTTGTGCTGGTTTAAAGGTAAACCGTCAGGGGAAATGAACCCAACTCAAAAGAGATTGTAAGTCAGAATAACAATTTAATAAAAATAATACAATAAATACAATTATACAGACGACCAATTGGTTTTAGCCCACAAAAACCCAGATGTATAACCCAGCACCCTGGGGCACGAACAGAATGTTGTTTGTTGGCTCCCATGCTGAGCTCCACGTGATCCCCTGAGTCCAAAAGTAAAAGGAGAGGAGAAAAACGTGTTGGTGCGAGTGACGGTCGCAGTCTGGTTGAGAGTGGTGGTCACAGTCTGGTCGAGGTTCTGGTCCTTCTCTGGATCCCGTGGGTGGTACCAGAAGTCCCAAGACACAAGAGTGAGTTCCTACTGGCTCCCAGAGCTGCTACCACAGGCTGTGGTGCCTGCTCCCTCTCTCCCCCATCTGACTTCAGTATTGGTCCCAAATCCATGCATGCTGGCTCCCCAGTAGCTGACACTTAGCCCTTGCAGTGCTCACATGGGACAGTGAGGTTGCTCAGAGAGTTATGGAAGGATAGAATAAGCCAGGATGCGTTGTGGTCATGTGTAGAGCTCAGTCAGACCAGCACTGACTGGCCCTGTTTTACACCCACCCAGCCTCTTATAACCCTTTTCTGTCTAACCCCCTTTTGGCTGCTCACTACCCTTGCCTGTTCCCTCACCAACTAACACATCCAACATCCTGGCTACTCAAGTTTGTATCCTTAGTTGCAAAGTCCTGGCTGCCTATAGCTTCTTGAGAGCTCATCAGTTGGTGTGAATGGTGGCATTTTTTTCTGGTTATTGGCTTTGTTAATGTTAATAGGTCAGGTTTTCTAACTCTCTTTTGTTTCCCTCCCTTTCCTTCCCTACTGTAAAAATAAATGTTCTCAGCCTTACCCCTTCAGGTGACTGATCAGGTTTGTTTTTATCACGTCTGGCTCCCCATCATGTGTCTGGTTTATCTCTGTGTTGTTTATGGCTCCTTTGACCAGATATCCCTAAATGAGCAGACATGCTCCTTCCACATCCCCTGATACTGCCCCACTGCCAGGAATTTTGGCAGAAGCTGCACTCCTCCTTGATCTGCTGGAGCCCAATGGGCTCCCTATGGGCTGTGCTCATGGGGGCAATGACCCCTCTGGGCATTGAAAGGGTTGGTTGTGTGTGTGCAGGGGCTGTGATCGCTGGCCTCATCAGAGGCAATAGGCAGGAAGATGCTGAGGCATTTAAAATCAGTAGCACCTCTGTAAGTGTATCAGTTTGTACAGGCAAGTCCAGTGTATGATAGGTGCATCTCTCCAGGCACCGGGATGTGGGATGTCTGTGGCTGAATGGATCCTGGGGTTTTGGTCTCATTCCAGCCAAGCTGAGTGATCTGCACTGGTGCCTTGCTTTGCAGTTAGCTTTGGGCTGACTGCTGAGTTGCATCACAGTATCAAAGACAGCTTAATTCGGAGTTTTTGGAACCACTGATAGTTCTGCACCATTTGCGTTGTTAGTCCACCTTACACATTCTTTCACAAATTGTGAGACATTGCTGTTTTCCTAATAAAAGTTGTCATTTCCCTTCCTTGTACCTCTTTATTTCCACTGAACCATGGTTGAGACTTGACTGGGACAATTTTCTGAGATTGTAGGAACATGTTGTGATTACCCGTCCTATAGATTTCCCAGTCTAACCCAAACATCCCGTCACAGCTTAAAAAATTGCAAATCTGAAGCTGAAATCCAAAGCAAGCCTGTAGCTCCCAAATTCATAATGTAGACTCCAACCACATACTTGCACTCTTCTCCTACCTACCTGTAGGGAGCATGTATTGGTTCGAAACACACACGCGCACACGCACACACACAGTCTCAGAAACATGGACAAAGACATGCACATTCCTCACAATTGAAATCGGTAGTACTTGGGCAGGAGGGAGGGAAAGCAAATCTGTTGGCTAGGATAACTATCATTCAATGCAGTTATTTCCTTTTTAAGGTCAAGGATTTCTTGTATGAAAAATCAAAAGGATCAAACAAGGCCTATCATTAGTTATGATATTTCAGGATAGTGTTTTTTCATACTTGGTAGTATGCTAATCTGCCTTCATTGTTCATGGGTATATTGTCCTAGCAACCCATATTGTACTGGATCATTTGGATCCCAGTTAGGGTTTTGTTTCATTGCAGGTGCAATGGCTTTTTTCCTTGTGGGGATGACAATTGATCAGTATGTGGCCATCTATGTGCCACTGTGCTACTTGTCTATCATGAACTGGAATATGTGCACAGGATTGGTGGCAACTGCATGGTTCAGTGGATTTCTTCATTCTATTGTACAGATTGATTTTTTTCTCCAGCTACTATTTTGTGGTCCAAATGTACTGGACAATTTCTACTGTGATGTCCCTCAAGTCATCAAACTGGCCTGCACTGATACTCTCATGGCTGAACTACAGATAGTGTTTAATAGTAGAGTGATTATTATTACTCTTTTTGTAATTTCTTACACTGACATCTTGCTTAAGATAAGGACATGCACCACAGAAGGGAAATGGAAAGCCCTGTGTACCTGTGGAACCCAGATAACTGTTGTGAACTTAATATTCATCCCCTGCATCTTCATCTATGCCCAACCTTATAAGAAATTCCCTAGGGACAAGGTGGCCTCCCTTGTTTATACTGTGGTCTCTCCAATGGTAAATCCAATGACTCACACATTGAAAAACACTGAGATGAAAAAGGCCATGAGGAGAACACTGGGAAAAATATTTCTCTCCGGAGGAATACAGAAACCAGACCAGACAGCAGATCCAAAGACATCAGGTCTGGTGCTTCCATGAGAAAACTGTATTCATCTCTCCTTCAGTAAGTGAGCAACTTTCTAGGTGTGAGATGAAGGCAACATTCACCTCCCATCAGCTTAGGAAGGTCAGTCACATGTTTTCTTGTCCTCCATGGAATGTGCAGTATGGTGTGATTTCTAGAGCCTAATAAGAGTTTTCTGCAATAAATGACCTGCAAAGACGTCACCATGGCACACCCGGGATACTGACCATGTGAGGGGCCCTAACCTCGCCCTTGTTCTCTCTGGTGGAAATCACAGCTGGGCATTCCACTCCAGCATGTCTCACTTCTCTTCAGCAATCTAGTGTAGTTTCATCTCTAGGTTAGCATACCAGAAAACTAGCTTGGTAAACTTGATTTTTATATCTGCTTGTCACATAGTTACAAAGGGTCTTTATAGTAGAGTCAGATATAGGTTCATTGTACTCCTTTTCCTTCTCTTATCCTCACTTTGGATGGACTGTGTAGATTTTAGGATCAGTCCTGGAAGGAAGCGTCCTGGTCCCACATTAGACAACATGGAGCTGGTTGAGGGATAAGATTGTCTCAGGGCTCGCTCAAGGGTGCTTCAGGGATGGAGGTTCTGCCCCCACACCATTCCCCTCTTCTTTGCTCTGCCCCATCCTCCAGTTTCATTTCAGCAATCCTCACATGATCATGGTCTCCTACAAATCCAGAGTCTTCTACACGGAACAGGCATTCTGAACATAATGCTAAAGAAGGACAAATGTGACAAGTGAGGAGGCAGACCTCCCATGGTGTTTCTGAATCACTAAGAAATTAAAATTTATTTGTAGATCCTGATAGAAGATCTAAAATTTTCTTTTGAGGAAATATCAGGCCCAAAACTGGGCCACCTGGAACCAGGAAGAGACCTGGGGGAGTAGGATGGATGTAGAGAAGAGAAAATTCTGTCTGCAGGAATATCTGACATCACTTCATGGAGGATGTTGTATGGAGGAGAAAACTTAGAAGTTTCTCAGATCTGCCACAGAAAGTGCTGCTGAACACCAAGCCACCCAACCTACAAATGACCTCAGACTCAGAATTAGCATAGTCCTTTGGGTCTCAGATACAGCTAAGTGTCCTTATGCCTCATATGGTAGGCTAACAAGGCCACGAAGGGCCTGTGTAGTAGGTGCCAGAGATAATGAAGGTCTGTGCACTGCAGGTGCCACCAAATCCCCTTCAAAGGAGCCGGATGTCAATACTTCTGGTCTGTTGTCTGAGGAGCTCTTAGGTGACACAGACTGGTTGTCTTTCACTTCTGAAGGAGTGCTGAAGGACTGCTTTCAGGGTCAGTTGTGTGACAGGAGTGCAAAGGGACAGAAACTCTGCACCAGAAAGCATGAGGCTGCTCAGAATGGTGGTAACTGTGCTCCTTAAGGATCATGCTTCTCAAGGACCATGGAGCCAACCCTGGGTGAAGAAATTTCCCCAGTACATCAAATCTGATCATGGACACCATCCCAGATTGGGGATGCTTCTGTCCAGGTGTAGGTGCCTCTTGCTGGGTTTAGAGGGACGGTGGCACCATGTGTGGGAAACAAGCTGTGGTCAAGGCACTGAGTTGACAGGTGGAAGGATTGCAAGAAGAGACAGAGCAGAGATGATAGCAAAGTCCTTTACAGCGTTGATGGACATGCAGCTGGAAGGCACGCTTTACTGAGTGGTGAGTAAGACTCAGGGTGGGAGAGGCTGGATGCTTGTGGCCTCTGACAGGAGATGCTCTCTTTGTAAGGCACTTCTTTTCTTTTGCCAGAGGACAGGTAGGAGAGTTAAGAAAGGGGATAAGCAAATAATAATAATAATAATAATAATAATAATAATAATAATAAAACCTACTTCATATGCAGCTATATTTGGATTCTTATAGCACACAACAGAAAAGGTTTCATGAGGACTGAGTCCATAATATGATGGGTGAACAGCTGACTGACAGGTCAGGCTCAAAGAGGCTGCATGGAGGTCAAGGCCATAATCATGAGCAGAAAAGCTTCAGCTGCTCCTAGGAAGTGGAGGAAGAAAAGCTGGGCCATGCAGGCCCATAGGAGATGGTCTTATGGTGTGAGAAAAAGGCAGCCAACATTTTGGGCAGGGTCACAAAACAGTAGCAGATACCCAAGAATGCCAAATTGACCAGGAAAAAAAACATGAATGATTTCAGCTGGGAATTCTCTCAAATTGCAAAAATGGTAATGGCATTGCCTGGCAGAATGATCGTATAGAAAAGCAGGAAGGAGTAGAAGAGAATAATCTGAACTTCACAGGTTTGGGACAATCCCAAAATAACAAACTCTGTAACTACTGTGTAGTTTTCATATTCCATTTTCACTCTGCAGAACCCTGAAAAAAAAGACAGTAATCATGAAAATAAAAAAAAAACATTTACAGTCCAGTGCAAATCTACAGAAATGTTTGAACAACTTAGGGCATATTTGGATTGCCTAAAATGCGTGCCCTTTTCCCATTTCCTGGTGTTAGGGAATTCCTAATGGTGAAATACTTGAAAACCTGTAATTTAGATTCCTGTTAACTTGGGCATTTTATTGAAAATCTCTGGGTCCATTGAGTTCAACCTATGACTAGACACCACCACGTGAACTAGACCGTAGCACTAAGTGCCACATCCAGTCTTATCTTAAACACATCTGGAGATGGTGACTCCACCACCTCCCTGGGCAACCCATTCCAATGTCAGGGAGTTGGAGAGGTCACGCCTGAGCCTCCTTTTCTCCAAACTAAACACACCCAGGTCCCTCAGCTGCTGCTCCTCCTTCCTTTTCTTCTTTCTTTTTCCTATTTTTCTTTTTGATTATGTTTTTATTTTTATTTTTCTCTTTCTTTCTTTCTACCTTTCTTCCTTTCTTCCTCTCTCTTTTTCTTTTCTCTCTCTCTTCCTTCCTTCCTCCCTTCCTCCCTTCCTCCCTCCCTCCCTCCCTCCCTTCCTTCCTCCCTCCCTTCCTCCCTTCCCTCCTTCCTTCCTTCTCTCTTTCTCTCTCTTTTCCCATGATTTTTCTTTTAATTTGTGCTGACATTATATCAAAGGATCTGATGTATCAGAACTGAGAGGTGTTTGTTTCTTTTCACTGCATACAAAGAATGGGTAGGTCACACCTAAAGATATACAGTCCGTGTGTCTAAAGTTAAGTGAAATTAATTCCACAGTGCCATATTTATGGAATGAGGTGGCTGGATTGTAGTCAAATTACCTGCAAAGGGAAAGGTGTGCATGAAACTCCTTGTACCCACATCCTCGTACCTTTGTTCCTTGATAAAAGAGTCTTGGAAAAGCCACCTGCTATTCATGTGTGAATTGCATGATCCAAGCTCACGTGGGTCATGCTCACTGGTTCACTTTGCCCACTTGTGGGTTGCCTGAGGGAGTTTGTAACTCAGCCATGGCTCAAGGCTTGCCCTCCCTTAGAGCCTCCTTGAGGAGATCAAGTGCTCCCATGGCAGGAGGTGATCTTGACAGAACCATAAGCTGTGGCAGCATGTCAAGAGCTCATTTTTGTCAAAAAAAGTTAATTAATTAGTTATTAAATACTATTTCACACAGACTTCTGAAAATAATAGAAAGGAATGAAAATGTTGAAATGTATTATTTTTGTTAAAATGCATTCTTCCATAAAAATGCATTCAGAGTAAGTGAAACATATTTTAGACATGGTAATATCTAAAGATATGGTAATGTCCTTCATAACATAAGGAAACTAACTTTCTTACCTTTTACTTATCTTTCTTTTTTCTTTTACTAGATCTCCCTTTAAACCAAAACTCATACTGTTTTCATTAGAAGCATTACCTAAGGTATCACAAATATGGTACACTTATTTCATTTGTTTACTCTGGATAGCATGCTGGGTGTAGTTTGTTGTGTGCACACATACCAGATGAACATACATAGTTGCATACATATGCATTAATATTTAAAGGCTGGGGAAGAGCCAACAAAATGCCTTTGCAACTTCTGTTTCTTCTTTATTTTTGTCCAAAACATGAGTTTGGCTCTATTACAGCTTATTGTGAACTCTGAATGAAATTAATTGTTTAAATTAATTTCTGATAGGCACCTAAGGAACCAGATATGGGCACTATCTTGGTTCATGAGAAGCCTAATACTGTGGGACAGCAGCACCTGACAAAAAATTCCCACCTTTCCAAGATCTGTGCCGTGGTGGTTCTGAGGAGGACAATGCCTGTACTGGGTTCTGTGACATATTTACCAAAATCTCTCTGTCTTCCTCATGTAATCTCAATACTGTATGCTAGGGTTTGGATCAACCTTATGGGAATGTCCCCTACAGAGTCCCATGCCTGTCTCTTTGAGGCATAGAAAAACTATATAAAATTAATACTAGCTTGAAATCAGATTAGGCATGTTAAATCAATATTTCAAATATTGGGGTTGGGGAAATGCACCCAGCCACAAACTTCTGCCTTAGTCTGTTTGTGCAGTTCTGATCCACTAAAAGGCATAATTTAACCAGAACTTCCCTTCTTTATAGAGGAGAGAGGACGGTGTGAGTGAGCTCAGCTCTAGCAAAATCAAGGGCTCCTTCCAAAATACCAAAAATCGGTGCTCCTTCCTCGGTGTGAAATTCTGATTTCCAGAAACCAAAGACCTGTCTCACTGTTTACCAAGCCAGTTTCTATTTGGAGTATCTTTCATGCAGACATGACATATGGAGATAGGGAGCAGAAGAGATGAGTTCAGGAAACACGGTAAGTTGCTGACAGTTTTTGATGGGAGGGCCCTGCAGCAGTTATAAAAAAGGTTTATGCTAAACTGATGAATGATTTTGGATGTCTCTTTCTTCTTGGACTGCAGTCTGAAACATCTTTAAAAGAGGCATGAATTTAAAAGCTTGAATCATTTGAAATACGATGTCCCTTAAAGTGATTCAGGCTAATTACACTACTGTTATTTTATTAGAGCAATTAAGCTTGCTTTTTTTTTTTTTTTTTAAGAAAGGCTTCTTTCAGTATTGTCTTTTCAAGGAATAAAACAAACAAACAAAAATATCTCTTTTGGCAGAAGTACAAATACATTAACTCCCAGAAGGAAAGTCTGTAGAAGTGTAAATGAAGTTTCATTAACTCTGTTTCTCCAGAAAAAAGGGTCAGTTAACTAAGTCAGATGACACCTCTAAACCTTCCTGGCAGAGACAGACTTTAAAGATCAGTATAACCACATTGGCAGTGAAGATTTCTTTTGCTTAACCTCAATTTGGAAACTACAGTTTGAATGTTGCAAGCTCAGGTTCAGGCTATTAACCAAGCCAAATTGCCTATTCCATTCAGAACAAACTTCAAAACCATCCCTACATTTGAAGGTTTAGAGGAAATTTAATTCACTGTGTGGAAATAGGACTGATATATGGCAAGGTGCATGTACGTGACCTTGGAATATATGCAATTAATGCAACACTCTATAAGGTGAAATCTTCTCGAAAGGGAGGGTGATATTAGTTCTAAACGCCTGATTTCATTCATTCATAGTCATTCTCACAAAGGTTTCACTTGTTTCTGCTTCTACACTTCCATAACTAGTAAGACGCTTGTGTCCAAACAATCTGGTTGTTATCACTGTTGTGAAAGCCAGAGGTGTGCAAACCCCTGCTATTTCACTGCCCTTCTGCTTCTTGTGTAGGTATTTTATGGGTCCAGTCTGGTTCTTCATCTTGGTTTTATCTTTTCTGCTTCAGTTTCTTTTTTTTTTGCATGATGCTCTGTGGCTGTTTAAATCAAATCACATGCAATGTAACAAAGCAATTAAAACACAATATTTTTTTAAGTCTTTTTTCTACAGTTTCTCCTGAGGCTTTCAAACACATATCTCCATTCATACTTCGTTCATTTCCAATGTAATATTTAAGATTACAAAATTCCATAGGGCAAATTTCTCATTCCTTTGTCTCTTTGCATTGGTACCAAAAAGAAGAAACACCACCTTGGATCATTTGGCATTCAGCAACACTGAGATATGGAATTCGCTTTGTGTTTTTTATAATGGATGTCTGTTAGCTACCTTACAGTGAAGCTCCTTAGTAGTTGCTCTTTTCTTCACAGTTGCTGCATTACTACATTCTCGTTGGACTGAACTTGATACTGGTTTGACCTGGGGACATGGAGCTGCATCAGACTCACCTCACTTGGACTACCAGATTCAGCATATTTACCTCTAAGAGAAAGATCTTTCCTAAGGAGTTTGTTTCTTTTTTTTTCCCCCTCTAAACAAATGTGACCGGGCAGCTGACACTCACTTCTCTGTAATCACATTAAGTTAAGCTTGATCTTCCTCTTATAGCATCTTAAAGGACAAGAGTTATTGTCATATGCTCAAATTTGGTGGTTTTTTTGTTTGGGGATTGTTTTTGGCTCCAAGTACATGAACCATAACGCAGATATGATGTTGAATTCAAATGTGCCATTGTCCAAGACATATGGCAAAGTCATGCAGAAGTGTTTGAGAGTGCAGCAAAAGCTGTGATAACTTTGCAAGATTGGTTTTGGGGAGAAGTGTCAACTTTACTGTGTACAAAACTGAAAAGTGAATGAAATTTCCTCAGAACTGAGAGAGAAGTCATCCTGGTCAAAATCAGTCATTGCTCCAATGCTTGATCCCATAATCTACTCACTGAGGAACACAGAGGTGAAGAATCAATGGATTATAAAACATCACAACTTTCAAAATGAGAAATTCACCTTTCTTGGTGTGGTTGTTTTCTTTTACAGAGAAATGTGAAAAAAACCCAGAGAAGCAGATACTGTCAAATTAATAATTGACTTTTGCTTTTGAAAAAGAAGGAAATTTAAATAACAATAATTAGCAAGTGACTAAAATGACAATACTGTCTCTCAAGGTACTAACTGCTTGGGAAAAGTGTTTTCTGACTAATAAAACAGTGAACATGCATTATAAAAGAATCAACAGCAATAGCAAAAACATTCTGTTTCTCTTGCTGCCCTACCCCCAAGTAGGCTTGGGGTGGGCAAGAAGTTTGGAAGAGACACAGCCAGGATAGATGACCCAAATTGTTCAAAGAGGTATCTTATGTCATATGATATCATGCTCGCCAAGGAAACTGGAGGGAGTTTTTTAAAAGTAACCATTGCTCTGAGAATAGCTCAGAGCATTGGCCTGCTGCTGGGGAGAGACTGCTTTGCAACACTTCTTTTTTTTTCTCAGCTTATTAAACAGTTCCAAACCAAAGATTTTTCACTCATTTTTTACTAATTTTTCATCCAGGGAGTTGAAATCCCTCATCAGGATGAGAGCCTGCAAATGCAGACCTGTATCCTGAAGCAAGAGCCCTTGCCAGCTTGCTCCCCCTGATCAGGCAGGCTGTAGTAGACCCTAAGAGTTGTGTCAATAAGAATTAAGTGATCTGAAGAAGAATAATTTTGTAGAACAGATTTATTTTTTTCTCACAAGAATGTAAGGTGACTGATATTAAAAAAGAGAAGTCACTCATCATTAGACATAGTAGCAGAAAAAGAAATCATGCCGCTGAAAAGCCAGCAGGATCCCTTTACTTCTGAAAAAAAGACCAAAAAAACCAAACCTCCCAAAAAACAGCGAAAACCCGTCTTTCAGCAGAATATCCCGCTCACCTTATTTAGTGTTAGGGGAACCTGCCCTTGACTCCACAGGCTGTATTGGTGGGAACTGCACTTAAAGTAAAGGAAGCTTAGTTGAGTTTTCTCTGACTTAGTTCTCTAAAAGGGTTTCTCTTATGCAAATGTCTTTGCTGGAATTTCGGGTATTTCAGTCATGGTAAGTTGCAATAGTTACAAAGAATAAGGGCGACCATTCATCAGGGAGTAAAGCTATTCCCTTACAGAACCCTAGAAACAAGTCTCCTGATGGCCTTTTTCATTTCAGTATTTCTCAGGGTGTAGACCAGGGGATTCAGCACTGGAACAAGCACAGTGAAGAAGATGGAGGCCACTTTGTCCAGTTCAAATGTCTTGAAGGGCCGAGCATAGATGAATATTCCTGGAATGAATGTTATGCTTATTGCCATTATCTGGGCAACACAAATAGACAAAGCTTTGTGCTTTCCTTCTGCGACTTATCTCCTTATCTTTACTAAAATGGCAGTGTATGAAAGGAGCAGAAAGAAAAATTACTGTGAGGATCAGTCCACCATTTGAGACCATCAGCAGCTCTGTCAGGTAGGTGTCAATGCAGACCACTTTCAGCACTTGTGGGACATCACAGTGGAAATTGTCCAAAGTGTTAGGACCACAGTAAGGTAAGGGAAGAAGCAGAGCAATCTGTGTTGCAGAGTGAATGAATCCACCTGCCCATGACCCTGCCACTAGATCTAAACACACCTCATTATTGTCAAGTACTGCAAGGGCTTGTGTATGGCCACGTACCGGTCAGCTGCCATCACTGCAAGAAGGAAGACTTCAGCACCACCAACAAAGTGCAAGAAAAACATGTGAAGAATGCACTCCTTGAATGGAACAGTTCTGTGCTAGGAGACAAGACCTGACAATAGAATGGCAGTACTTACTGATGATTTGGTTATATCTGTGAATGCTAAGTTAGCCAGGAAGAAGTACATGGGTGTGTTCAAGTGGAAGTCAGTGATAACAGTGATGAGGATAGTGATGTTTCCCAAGCAGGTCATCAGGTAGACGATGAAGAAGACTGTGAAGAGGAATTGCTGAATCTTAAGACTGTGGTTGAAACCCAGGAGGACAAATTCCATTACAGGATTGGTTACATTCTGTGACTCCATCCATTACTGTCTGCGCATGCCTGTGAGAGGAAAAACGGAGAAAGGAGACTGATGAATTTAAGATTTTCAACACCAAGAGAGACGATCTTTCTGCTCTCTCGGCTCAGAAACTCCCATTCTAGCAAACTCCTTATATCCCTGCACTACACGGTGAATATTTTGTTCAGTGGAGGTAATCTGAGTTTTTGGAACTGTTTCTTCTGATCTCCAGTTTTTTACTCTGCATCTCTACCCTTAAAATCCAGTGTGACTTTACAATTAGTTGCTATCTTCATAAATAGGCTTCTGTTTGCCGAGTACTCCAGGCTTTAGCCCCTCCTTGGTGCAACAGTTCTTCCCTCTAACATTACCTTTTACCATTCTCACATCTAAAGCACTTATTCCACATAGGACTGCTTTGTCTGCAGTCTCAGAGCTGTCTGATTCCTCTTCTCCACAGAGGATTACAAAGAGAAAACAAGAAAAAAACCCCAACAAACCACTCACACATTCATTCTGTCTAAGCATCACGGTAGGAACAAAGTTGCTGTGAAATCTGTAACTTTCTTGGGTGTGAACAAAGGTGGGTTTACTGTAGCCACTCAGGGATTCCTGCTCCAGCAGTCATTGAGAAAATAAATACTTCAGAGTGTTTTATGGTGTAATAGTGTTTCCTGTAGTATTCGTATGTTAGCCAAATGGAAACAGTGCATTGTGCATTCTTTACTTTGCAGACAGCTCTGTTTCAGGGCAGATGTGATCATATCCTGCAGGGGTGTGCCCTGACCGTACATTCAGAGAGGACCTTGGATATGCTGACTGCAGTTAATTTCATTTGTACAGGCATAAGCATCTCATTCTACTTATCTCAGATTCTTGAATTAATATTCAATCATCCTCCGAGTGTGTCTAGTTGTTCTTTGTTCTAAGCAGATCTTGATGTTTAGCTCTATCACAAAAGGGGGACTATCTTTCTAAAAGGAAAGGTTCAAAGTAATTTTGGATGTCTTAAAATACCCGAGACATTTACACTGGCTTGGAAACTGAACTGGTTCTTGGGTAGCAGTTTGGCACAAACATGTGATGACTTCTCTTCAGGTGCCCTGTATCTGCACAGAGTAGCAATGTTCCCTTCTGACATTTACTACAGCAGATTAGTGCAGGCTACTAATCAGAAAGCCCACAATTACAACCTTCCAGCACTTTCAGGTGTTGTTCTATTGCCTGTTATTGATCCGAGGTCCTTCGTGTCCTGTTTGCATTGTCCCGTTTGCCATAGTTAACTGCATCCAGCTCCTGTTTGCACTGCAGCTCACTCTGGGACAAAACAAGGCCATGATACTCCCATGTCATTTAGACAAGTCCATAGCAGTGGAACAGGTTGAAATCTAGACCAGGAAATTAAGTAGTCAAGATGAAGTAAAAGCCAGCAAGATATAAGGCCAGGCACAACATACATGCAGCACAGGCAAGACAAGAAAAAAGAAGAGAGATCAAGCTTAAACACTTCAGTCCTGAACCAATTTCCAGATGAGGTTTCCCACAACTTTCTTACAATTTAGCTGTTTCACATCAAATTAATACAAGGTTAAACAACCATATTGTATCAGTCCTGACCTTGAACAGAGACAGCTAAACTGCTGGGGAGAGGAGAGAGGAGACAGCAGAGAGGGAGTACAAAGAAGGCCCTTACCTGCAGGTCAGAGCATTTTAAACCTGTTTCTGCACCTGTTGTCCCATCAAATCTAAAAAAGTCATCATGAGTAAACTAGGAGCATTGGTTAGAGAGTCACTGACACCTGGAAAGGCCAAGCAGGCAGGTAGAAAGTACATGGGGTTGTAAAACCATGGATCACTGATGACTGTGACAAGGATTATGAAGTTCCTTGGAGAAAAACATGGAGAGAAAATACTGAATAAAGAGTTATCTGTCCTATGAATCTTCCTATTACTGTGTTTTCTGAGGACTGCACTGTGCCAGTGATTAATCTCAGACCCTCTCTCTGAAACACCTGTGAGATTTACTCAGAGGATCAAAAAAAAAAGAAGACCAGAACAGTATTCTTTTGGAGATATAGGGATTGGGTCATAAGGGAATGAATTAGAAAGTTCATGGTTTATTTTACTCTGTAGATAATAATCCCACAAGCACAAGAGCAAATGTCCTTCTGTGCTAAGCTCCATAAGCCTGAATACTTGTATGTGACTTCCAGCAGTATTGTGAATTACATGCCAGGATCATCTCAGTAGTCAACAGGTAAAACCTGGCTAATCAATAAATTCTTTGCTCATTTTTTTTTTGTTCGTTAATGGTATGTGAATTTTAGTGAGAATAACCCAATTTTGATCTCACAGCTACAGGATCAGCAAATTACAGAATCATATAGGATGAAGGGATCTCCGCAAGTTTCCAGTCCAGCCTCCTGTTTAAAAGAAAATTGTTCATGGACATATCCAGTTGAGTTTGGAGTATCTCTTAGTACCTCTGTGGCAATGTCATGCTCTGTCTTGGCTCCTATTCCGATGCCTGTCCACTCTTGGTAAAAGAAAGGTGTTTTTTAAACTGAGTTAAGCTGCCATGGTACAACTTATGTCTTATGCTCCTCACCCTGGCACTGTACACCTTCAAGAAAATTCTGAATCGGTTTTCTCTAAACCCTTCTATTGGGTAGAGGAGGACAGCAATAAGTTCTCCCTCACAGCCTTTTCCTCTATCTCTTAATTTGTCCTCCATTGGATTTATTACAATAATTCCATGTCTGGTAAGATGATACAGTGAGTGCAAAATACTTGTGGGAACAGGACACCCAAACCTGTCTGTTCTGAGAACTCCTATGTGGTATATTGTCACATTGTAGCAGCAGCTTGTTCCTGAATGTAGTGGTTTGGACTTTGTTTTCCCCCAGAGGCTAAAAAAAAGTGGTAGACCCCAAGGGGTGGAAACCCCTGGAAGTTTTGAAATTCTGCCCAATGGGCACTCCTGCAGAAATGTAAACATACCACAACCAGACCGGAGGAGATGAGTTGTAGTTTTGGTTGTAGGAGAGGTGGCCATGTTGTAGAGCCACGAGGAAGGGGCTCTGAGCCCCTTGGGGCCTCTGGCCCCCTCCCAACCCTGGCTGGGGGGATTGCAGAGGCTTGGAACAGTCTTAGGCTGGACTAAGCGTCTGTATTATGCCGGGAGATGTTTTCTCCATGGGCACAGAGCAGCAGCCGACGCTGACCAGAGAAACGGTGGCAGAGAGCCAGAGATAAGGACCTGAACTGGAGGAGCAGCAGAAGCAACATGCAGCACCAGAGAAAGGACTCCTGGAAGGAGAGCCGAGGAAAGGAGAGCCAAGAGACAGAGTTCTGGGGGTAAGACTGTACCACACTCCCCCAAAACTCCCTTGAGACCCCTCTTGGAAAAGAGGGACATGGACTCCTATTTTGGAGAGCAGTTTTGGACATGCAGCACCAGAGAGAGAGAGGAGCTGAGAAGCTCAGAGCGTCCCGGAGCTGGACCGGGACAGCCAGATGGAATGCGGGGGGGGAGTTGACCTTGGCTCCCTCCCCCCTCGCACTGCTGCCACGGTGGCAGCCTGAGAGACAGGGCACAGAGGCCCTGCAAGAGATACCAGACCGTCACGAAGACCCCCCTGTGTCTTCGTGATATGACGTGGTGAAACGACCTTGTCTGGGGTTACGAAGTCCACGGAAGACCCCTCGGTTGTGAGGCGATGGGGCCGAGAGAGAGGCTTGGATACCTCCCTCGTGGATGCTGGCAGAAAGCCAGCCACAGCTGCTGCATGCATGAGATGAGGAGAAACCTGCTGCATTAGAAGATGCTGCTGCTTAAGGACTGGAAGGGATCTGTCCTTCTTTCCCTCCTGGACTTTTATTTGGAGGGGAGAGGAGATCTGATCCATTGTAAATACATATGTCATGGTAGAGATAGTTGTGATCGTGTGTATAATGTGATATGGTATTTATTTGTACAGTCATTGTAATATATTCCCTTTCCCCCACTTTGAGTCTGGTGTGTTTTGTGTGGAAAAACCCATCTCACATTAGGTTGAGATGTGGGAGGGGGATGGAGCTAGGGAACTGGATTTTGGGGCTATCTCAAACCATGACACTGAACTAACTCAACAAACTTTAGGCTGCTATTTCACAAATGAAAGGCTCTGTCCCACTTAGCTCCCACCTCAGCTCTCCTGAAGGAACTCCTTGGACAAGGAAGGAGCATATCCACTTGCTCTGAACGGGAGGGCGTGGGTGATGGCCTCTGGATGTTCTGAGATTTGTTTGACACTTAAGTTGAAAGCTTCCACTGGGAGTTAAAACATTATATTCCTTAAGTGCCAAGAGAAAGTGAAAGCTATTTTCACTGTGGAGAAGTGTAGGTTGCTGCGTGATTATGAATAGACAGCACAGCTGAGGACAGACAGGATAGGCCAGGAGTATATTTTGTACACATAACTGCACAAATATGCAGAAATAAAGACAGATATCTACATATACACATATGCAAAGGAGGGGAGCATTAATAATCTGATAAAGACTTTGGGTGCTTATTAAGCAAACTGTGGGAACAAGCTGAGTCACTCTGCACCTGCATTTAGTTAATTGGAATCAAAAGGGAGGATCGACTTTGGCTAAGTGCTTTGACAGAGAGGATGTTATGTCTCAGAGTGGAAAACAACTTCAAACAGTCTGCATGATAATGTGTGTTTTTCTCTCGTGGCTGAACACAGCCATCACATGATGTGAGTGTGAATGTGTGGGATCAAGGCACTGATTTGGGATGATCCTGGGAATTCCAGTTGACTAAAATAAAAACACCAGGTGCTGTTTAGGAGAGAATAAAAGGGGAGCACCGAAAAGGATGAGTAGACAAGTCCCAAAATTGAAGTCTGTGTGTGTGTAGCCTTGTTTTCTCCTGAGTGCCCATAGCAAGCTAACCTTGTTCACAACAAACAGCAACAGCTCATTTTGATTCAGCATAGAACCAGGGATTTTTTTACAACAGGATGATCCTGGTTCAAACTGACTTAAGAGCTTTCATGCAGAAGCTTTCCTCATTTTGGTTTTGCTTTATCTCAGCTACATCAGCTTCCGTTTGAAGTTTCAAATATTTCCACCTGCAAAAACAGAACACCAAAGGGTTTTGGTCTCTGAAAGTTTCTCCTTCCCAAACTTCAAAGGGTTTCACAAACTATTAATCAGGTTTTTCCATGCTATTTGTCTTGCCACCCTTAGACCACATGCTTGACATCTTTTTTTTTTTTTACTATCCCAAACACCCAGGGATTTAAAGCCAGACACCTTCAGAGACATACCTGGTACATCATATATTCCCTCCACATCAACCCTACAGTCTGGAGGAGAAATAGGAGTTCTGTAGCCATGGTGACAGATAGTGTGCACTCTCAGTGCAGGCAACAGCTTCCCTGATAGCTTTTCCAGGCTTACTTGACCATTCTGTTCCTCAGGCTTACAGTGGGTTAATCAGGGCTGTGAGGATGGTGTAGAAAAAGGAGATTTTGTTCAGTTTTCTCAGTGAAGATGTCCCAGGCAGCAAATAGACAATATCTCTGTCTATTTGAAGGCCACAGAAATGTCCCTTACAAAATGCTGACCACAATGGTGTATGAAAAGGCTTTGACTTCTCACACACAGCGGAGATACCCTTCTACCTCCCAGTGCTCAATGGGATGCTCCGAATGGCATCTGTAATGCAGACGGAGGACATCAGGGTGAACAAAACTGTAAAGACTATGTCTGGGATGATCATTACAGCACCTGGTGTCACTGGAGGAAAGCTGTATAAAGAGATCAAATCACAGAAGTAGTCAGTTGGGCTGGAGCCACAAATCTTCAATTGGCTTGAGAGGTATGTGATGATTGTGGAACTAGTCATTCCTGCAAGCCAAGAACCAACCACCAGCTGGAAACACACCTTCCAGTTCATCCCTCTTGTACACAGCATGGGGTGACATATGGCCAGGTACTGACTGTAGGACATGGTGGCCAACAGGTAACACTGCAAGAAGTTCAAAGAAATAGAGCAGAGCCATACAGTCCTGAGCAGAGATGGTCCCGTCCCCAGTCAACAGCCTGGGCACATTAGATGGAAGTTTGGTAGATCTCCAAGTTGCACATTTTCACTGAAAAGAAATACACTGGGCTGTGGGATGCTGCTGTGTCATGACCAGCACAATGATGAAGATGTTCCTGAGCACAGACAGTGAGAGAGAAGAGGAGGAGAAGGACCTGGAATCAGGTGTGTTCCTGAATCCCAGCAGGAGAAACTCTCTCAGTGACATCTGGTTTTCCCATTCCCTTTTTCAAGGCAGTGTTTTCAGTCTTTCTTTTCTCCTCTTGTCAGAAAGGGCACCTACGAGCAAGGGAATATTTGTGAAAGACAATATTATTAGAGAGAAAGCAGTGTTCTGCACACATGAAGCTGTATTCACATTCCCTTTAGGGGCTCCATGTGTAGTGCACGAAAAGGACAGGGGTCTTGGAGAGATCTCATCCTAGGAACACTCTTTTCCACTAGACAGATGAGTTGCCCGATGGAGGTACCTATTACTCTCTATGGAATAAAAAAGGAATGGGCATTTGCTCAGGCTTCAACAGCCCAACTGCTATGCCTGAAGTTACTGCCAGTAAATTTTTCCCAGGTGTAAAGGACAGAATTCCTTTTGCTATCAGCAGGAGAAAGGCAACTTAATGTGCAAGAGAAGATTTAAATCTCAGATTCACAGTAAGTGAAAAAGGGCCCAGTGCAAATAAACTTGGCATTTTGCTGGTGAGACAGAAGGTAACATTGATTGCTGAACTGCTCTGTGAGTGTATCCAGCTAATTATCATGTTGTAGGATGGATCCTACAATAACATCAACGATAGAACAAATGCAGGACAAGGGCTGATTCTTCAGGAAAGGCAGAACTAGCTTAACAGGGACAATAAATAACAAGCTGTCTGGAGAAACTGGAAGTACAGAAACTTGCAGGAAATTAGAAGGATGTAGTGGGTTGATCCTGGCCAGATGCCAGGTACCCACTAAAGCCAGTCTCTCACTGTCCCTCTGCAACTGGACAGAGGAGAGAAAAAAAAAACAGCTAAGGATTCATGAGTTAAGTGCTGGGAGAGTTCACTTACCGATTACCTTCACGGGTAGAACAGACTCAAAGTGGGGATATTAATTAAATTTATTACTAACAGCATAAGAGCCAAAGAGTGAGAAATGCAATAGTCTTAAAAACACCTTCCTCCCACCCCTCCTTCCATGTTCTCCCTCCTCCCCCCAAGTGGTGCGGGGGGACGGGGAATGGGGGTCACGGTCAGTTGTTGTTTCTGCTGCTGCTCAGGGAGAGGAGTTGGAGTCCTTCCCCTGCTCCTGTGGGGTCCCTCCCTCGGGAGACAGTCCTTGATGGACCTCTCCGACGTGAGTCCACCCCTCGGGCAGCAGCTCTTCCCAACCTGCTGTCCCGTGGGTCACTCCTCCACGGGGTCAGTCCTTCACGGATGAGCTGTACCAGCGTGGGTCCCCCACATAGGCCACAGGTCCTACCTGGGAAAACCTGCTCCAGCGTGGACTTCCCTCTCCATGGGCTGCAGGTCTCCAGCAGGACCCTGCTCCATCTTGGGCCTCCCATGGGGTCACAGCCTCCTTCCTCCATCCACCTGCTCCAGCATGGGCTTCTCAAGGCCAGCTCAAATGAAAGTAGCAAGGAAATCATCAGTGAAACCCCCACCATATAATAAACTGTTTACTGTTTACAGGGTCTGAGTGCTTTTCTTACTGGGATCACAGCAAAATAGCATCTTCGAGTGCAGCACAGGAGGAAAAGATCTTCTCCAGACACCTCAACCTGTCAGGTAGGATGATTTGAAAACCCTGTGCCATGACAAAAACTGAGGAAAACACACAGCTGATATCATATCACGTCAGATGCCCTTTCTTCTACCAGTAGAAGAACTGGCACTACGGTACCAAGTTCCTCTGAGCTTTTAACTATGGCTTTGGGACTCTGTGATCCATGTTGCAAGGAAGAAGCTGAGTAAACAGGGAATGAAGTGGGAAAGAAGCATCACGTAGCACCTGTGCATGAGGAACAGAACCCTCTGGCCAGACTTTATCCAAGAGTTTTCCTAATGTTGTTATCTCAGTTTAACGAGAGAAATGTTTGCTAAGGAGGGTGGGATATGAGAAAAACCAAACTCCTCCCTCTGAGTAGTTATAACTTCTAAATTAAAAGGCTCCAGTTGAAAAGCTGTGGAAAAGGAAAATAACAGCTCTTTACTAAAGAGTTTTGAGGCCACGTTGCTGAGAACATAGCTGCATTGGGCAGGCCACGTCTCCAGGATGGAGGACTACTGCCTCCCTAAGATCATGCTCTGTGGTGAACTTGCCACTGGTTGCCACAAGAGAGGAGCCCCAAAGAAGAGATACAAGGACTCCCTGAAACAACGTCTCAGTCTTGGCCATATTGATCAACAAAACTGGTCTACTCTGGCCTCCAGTTGGGAGGTCTGGAGACACACTGTACATAACGCTGCTGCTTCTTTTGAGCACACACGCAGAATCATTCCTGAGGAGAAAAGACAAAGCAGAAAGAACCATGTCTTGCCAATACCGCCTAAGGAGACTTTCTGCTGTGCCTTTTGCAACTGGACTTGTCTATCTCCATTGGCCTTTTTAGTCATCAGCGTCCTTGTAGCAAGTGTGGATAGAAGCCTAGCCATGTTGATGACAATAATGACTAAAGAATATATATGTATATATATATATTCAGGTAACACAACAGAAAGAAGCAATAATCCTGTAACCAAACTCCTACCGAAAACAATTAAATCCTTTTTGCCTTTTGGTGCAGTTATAACCACGACCAGCAGGGGGCGCTGTTGGACCCGGAGGGGTGCAGTTATAACCACGGCCAGCAGGGGGCGCTGTTGGACCCGGAGGGGTGCAGTTATAACCACGGCCAGCAGGGGGCGCTGTTGGACCCGGAGGGGTGCAGTTATAACCACGGCCAGCAGGGGGCGCTGTTGGACCCGGAGGGGTGCAGTGTCTCCACGGCCAGCAGGGGGCGCTGTTGGACCCGGAGGGGTGCAGTGTCTCCACGGCCAGCAGGGGGCGCTGTTGGACCCGGAGGGGTGCAGTGTCTCCACGACCAGTAGGGGGCGCTCCGGAAGGCCCCACGAGGGCAATGGCGGATCCCAGTCATGGCGGCTGCTCCGAACCCCAGGGCGGGCCCCAGCCCTCGGCCACGGGGGCGGTGGTCGGCAAGGGACAGGGGTGCCAGTCCGTCCAGCTACGAGCAGGGAGACACCTCCCCCCTCGAAAAAAGGGAACCCCCCCACAAGGTACTGGCAGTCTTTGTGACAGCAGAGGTCGCGTGTGACGCCCCACCGCAAGCACCGCAGGGCTCTCCCCCGGGAACAAAGGCGGCTCCGTGGGTGTGGGCAGAGCAGGTCATGAGGGGTCGGAGGGGAAACTGGGACCTTCCTCAGGGCTTGAAGAAACCACTGATCTGACCAAAAAGATGAACTCGGAGCGCCCTTCCCCACATCGCTCCTGAGTCCGGCCAAAAGCAAAATCCCAGCCGCCGAGGGAAAGAGAAGAAAAAAAAGAAAAAAAAAATAACCAAAACAAACCTGAGCCCTCCCTTCCCCCAGCTGTAGTTACAAGGAGATGGGGTTTCCCTTACGCAATTTACCTAGTGTGTCGAGGTTATTTAGCGTTTCAATGAAGCAGTCGTTAGCCCCGGCCTCACCTAACAATAGCGTCTTACCTTGCTAGCAAGAAGATGTTGGTATGGGAAAATGCACTAGGAAAAAGCAAAAAGGTGTAGAACTATAAAAGTTGTGGATAAGCACAAAAGCTAATTTTCTCCCTATGACTTTTGAGCTTTTACAGGGAGATGGAGATGCTAAAGGAAAGCATCCAGGTGGTCCATAAAAGTCTAGGGTTGAATAATTTGCTCAAAAAGGTGATGGTCCCAAAGTTTAATACACCTTTCTCCCAGGCCAGGATGAACTTAGTCTGGAGACACTGATGACAAGTGCAATTAGGAGAGATTCCCTCATTCAACACTGTGAATGAAGAGTGTGAGGACCTTTCCTGTGGTAGTGCCTGGAAATGAAGACTCAGGCCTTGCTGTCACCTGTTCTGCCCCATGTCACTTCCCTCCCTATTCAGTCTGAAAACCCTTCTCTCACAGGAAGGCCAATAAAAAGTTTAGCTCTTTCACTTTTCCTTCCACAGATTGAGCTCCGGGCCTGAAGCACCTGGGTGCCATTTCCTAGTGTTATGGATGTAATCAGTGTCATGGAGTGTCTTTCCCTTAGGATTTCAGGGAGGGAGCACTGCACAAGTGTATCTCTGTGGAGGGTGGAAGTTATGAGCTGACGCAAACTGTTTCTACATCTTGGGCAATGGTTGTCCTTCCCCAAACCTCCAAAGCATTTCAGTCTGCTCTAAGAAAGAGAAACTGAGGTGGGGCAGTGTGAGAAATATCTCTAATTAAAATTTAGAAGATGGCCAAATACAGTGAAACAAAGAGCTTTGTAAACAGCGCGCTGGGTGCACGAACTGGTGACCACCCTTTCGTACCCTTTTGGTTACATTAGCTGTTAAGTATTCAGTAGGTGTAAGGTATTTTACCTTAAAAGGTAATTTTTTGAACTCAGGAGGGGGTGTTATCCTCCCTCCTGATTGATTGATGACGTACTCCTATGTACAGAGGGGTCTCTCTGCACTCAAAGGCCAGCCACGTGGCCAGGGTATATTTTCCATTTTTATATATTTTTTCCCTACCCCGGCCATGACATTTCCTTGGTGTCAGACCCAGATGGGGCCTTTCACCTTACAGTCTCCACAAGGTGCCTAAAACTCCTGGAATTAAATGAAAGAGAGGAAATAAATCTCACCACCCCCTGCTTTTTACTAAAATCAATTTGCTTATAATAAAACCAGATTATTTATTTCTCATAGGCAGCAAGCACTGGCTTTTCTAAGCTGCTGCAGCAGAACCTGGTGAGGATCTGAGAAGAGCACTCAGCTCCAATCTTGCAGAAGACTATAATGGGGTTAATAATTTCAGAATTAGGCAGCTGTGGGTCACTGGGGCTGCCCTTTCAGCCTTTCCAATGGTCAACAGGGAGAAAGCAGAGCCTGGTATTTCTCCAGGCCATGTAGACTAATTAAGTTCCATCAGATGAATCACCCTTGGGAGCCTGTTGGAGGGAAGAACCCAAAACCTCTTTCTGGATAAACAATACATTTGTTGGTGGCTGAAGTAAGCTGAGCTATGGGTATTTCATCACAGTCATGATTCACCTCTCCAAAATGTGAGGTCCTCAGTGCCCTTCTTTCCTCCTTCTACACCCCAAGGAGTGTAAGAGGGCACATTCCCTATGTCATTTGTCTCTCTGAGAAAGGTGATTCCTATGTCTCCCCATGGACTTCCAAGGGAAGAGGTGGGTTTGAGTGCAGAGACATTTTTGCTGTGCCTGCTCCAGACAGCAGAGGTGAATATTCAAGGGAGAAGAGCATTTAGTTTCAGAGATGTAAACTCTAATGGAATTAAAAAGTTAAAGCTAAAACCAAGTTTGACATTAATCACCTGAAAACATTTCTGCTACAGCTAGAATAAATTAGGCATCAGTCATGTATCTGGTGGGCAAAGTGTTGCTATTGCCACTAGCTGAAATAAATTCAAGATAAAAGATGTCTAGAAAAAGTCTGACAAGCCCTCAGCTGCTGTCCTGCTAACCTAGAACTCTGTGCTCTTCCAAGACCAATGGCAGCACCTTATTTTGTGTATTAAAATATACAGCTATGGGGACGTCCTTTCCTGTCCCTCCTGGTGGATCATAGATGGTCCCTGGAAGGAAGGATCATAGGCCCAAGAGAAATAAAGGCTATGTCACACCTTTTGGCTTACAGAAGATTCACTGTTTATTGGGAAGTGAAGCAGAGACTTTGCTAACATGGAGTGACACCCACGAATTCAGGACCCAGAGGCAGAGGGAGTAAATTGCATGACTGGTTTGTTAATCAAAAGCTCCTGAAGTTCCACCTCCAAGATACTGATAGTTTTCAAATCAGTCTCATGTCACTTGAGCTCTTTTAAGCCTTATGATGGGCTGAGTCTGATGAAGATGAGAGTTTTACTTCCAAAATGATTGGTTTACATGGCAAAGGAAAGATATGGGAGTTTCTGACACAACCTGGACTTTTGGGGGAAAGCAAAGAGGTCAGCAACTGACATGCAGCAGGAGTCCTTCATTGTGAGCCTCTGCAATGGTACATGCTGTTGATACCACTAAACACTGATTCTTTGCTAGTGTGCAAAGCACTCTCTTGTCAAACAGAAACTATAATCATAAAATAATTTAGTTTGGAAAAGATCATTGAGTCCAACTGTTAAACCAGCACTTCTAAGTCCACAACTAGGTCCAACCATGTCCCTAAGCACCACCTTTGTGGGACCCAGTAGCTATTTTGCCAAAGTCTAATTCAGGAAGGACAGGGCTTCCTTCCCACTGCCACCTCCACTGAGACTAAACACTTGGAGGGGCTGAATTGGAGTTTTTCTCTTGAGGAGCTCAGCATGGTACACGTTCAGCCCAAATAGTATAATATATAAGCAGCGAGAATTAATCTACAATGTAAGACCCCAGCTGGTAGCAAAAGTGGTATCCCAGCACAGTGTGTGAATTTGGGTTATACTTTCTGCAGGTGCTGTTGGTCAGTATCAAGGCATATGTGAACTCAGAGCCTGAAGATATTTGGCTTTACACTGCTCCCAAGGAGGTTGTTGGCTGCCTCCAGACACTTGTCCAGCTGAGACACTGCAATCAGGGAGAGACAGAGGCTTTAGATGTCTCAGGCAGGGGGGAAGAGTCCACAGATAGAAGGAGCAAGGGGACACAGGACTTCTTCACGTGCCTGCAGGAAATCACGGCCCTGCGAAGGAATGAGGCAGATCCCACCGGACAGAGAGGGGAATCAGCAGGAAAAGGATGATCAAGACTCACCAGCTTGGCTGCACAGCCAGGTCACGGCCTTGGCCTCCAGAAGTTCACAGTAGTCTTGGTAACATTTGTCGGGTCTGTGCAGCCAGGTCACAGCCAGCACTGTGGCCCAAATGCTTGGTTCCATGACCTGTAGGAAAACAATGGACTGCCATGCACTGCCAATATCTCGCCTGTCCCCTCACTGCTTCCCCTCATCCATTGTAGCTTATGGTTTCTGATCCCTTCATTCATCCCTTGGGATGCCAGTGTTGCCACCAGCCAAGGTTTTTCCACTGCCCCACTGTCCCACTGTCACCATAAGAAGTTCCCCCATTACCTCACCAGGCATCTTTCTCTTGATTTCAGCTTCATCGACCTCCAGCACAGAGGCCAATCCTGAGCTGAGGGCCCAGGAGCCATCTTCACTCTGCAGTGCTGCCAGCTTCTGGCACTCAGCAAAGGCTTCAGTGGACCATGGCCCAAAAATTGGAGAGCGCAACACATATGCTGTAGGATCCACATATTTGAGAGAAGAAATAGATGGTGGTAGTGGTTTATGTTCTGTGGGAGAAGATGTGAACAGGAGTATTGGGAAAATCACAGGAAGCTGGCCCCACTCTACTCCCCTGTGCAGTGCCCCGGGGCATTATCTCTGCTCCCCTTTGGGCGGCTTCCTGCTGCCCAAAGTCCCCCCTACATGTCTCCAAAGCAGTCCAATCCATAGCCCCTTCTGGACACCCTTAAGTCATCCCCAACCTTGACCACTGCCTCTTCTTGCATTCCTGCCCAGCTATGTCCCAATACCTACCTCTCTTGATACACCCCAACACATTTTGTTCAAACGTGTGTGTGGTTCAGCACCATCCCTTCCCCCTCCCTGGGTGTTCCTGAGCTGGGCCTTGTATTTACTGAAGGACATTCAGATACGAGGGTAACTAAGGGAAGATTAAAGGCAAAACTCATCGGTTTCCACACCATGAACAAGGCATGGCACCATAACCCTCCTGTAAGACAGTGGATTATCCCTACATCTCCCATCTGGGTCAAGGCCCCATACCTTTTGAGCAAGCCCCCCGGTTGGGCAGGGCAGCAATGCCACAGGTGAGCCGACGGAGGACACGCCATGACTCACGCACTGCTGTCAGCCAGCCAGGTGGGACCCAGATGGTCACCGGATAGCAGGAAGAGTCCTTACACGAGCCAGGAAGCTCAACAAGCTGGCAGGGGATGTGTGACTGGCAGGGTGCCAACAGTGCCAGAGGCCCTTGGGGGTAAAGAGGAAAAGGGACTGAATTAATCACATGGGAAAGAAGCACCTGGTGGTGATGGGCCCTGCCCCAGGAACCTGGGAATGCCCTGTGGCTGAGGTTCCAGCTCCAGTGGAATGAGGACATCCCATGGAGCTGCCCCACCAGCTCTTTTCTGCTGGTGACTTTCCTTACCTCGGTACCAGGTTACCCTCTGTGATGTACGAATGCCCACATAGCTGGTAAAGGGGCAGATGATCCCTGAAGCGAGGCTGATCTCCACCGCACGATGCCTGGGTTCATCCCCTGACCCACTCGCAGCCTCAAGAAACAATCTCTGCAGTAAGGACCTCACAGCCAGACGATGCCCAGCCAGCCTGGGAACAGAGTGGGGTGAAGCCTGAGCACCTGAATCATCTCTGTACTGAGGAAAGAGAGAGAGCTTGGACACTTGGGTTCCCTCTCCTCAGGGCTGAGGATGGACAGAGGGAAAACCTGGATGCCTGGGTCCTTGTCTGTCTGGAGGGAAGTGGTGCCCAGGTGCCTGGGTCCTATCCCTGTGGGGTCAAAGGGAAGGAGGGCATGCTTGGACACCTGGGTTCTCTGAAGGTTTGGGATGGTGTGTGGAAGGTGGAAATGCACAAGTTATCTGTGCCCCCTCTCAGTTGGAGTCCATATTAGAAATGAGGGGAATGCATCTTCCCTGAGGATAGGTTCTCACCGTCCATCTCCCTGTGAGCACAGTGGGAATTCAATCGTGTGAGTGACATCCTCGCCCTCCAGGCTGCACTGCAAAGTCATGACTCCCTTGGCCACCGTTGTATCCTGGAAACACATGGGAAGCTACTGGAGGTTACTGGGGACACAAGATGGTTACTAGGGGATATTGGGAAATTACTTAAAGATTACTGGTGGTTACTGGGAGGTTACTGGGAGATAGCTGAGGGTGACTGTTGTCCCAACTCTCACCTGTGCCTGTCCATGGATCTGGGCATAGAGAAGACTGTGTTGACCCTGAAAGATAGATTGAGGAGTACCCCCCAGCACTTCAACCTCCAGGCCACGTGGCAGGGTCCAGCTCAGAGAGACTACTTCAGCTGCTGGCTTGAGGGCTCTCTTCAGGCACTGCAACACCTGGGGACAGAGGGCAGAACACCATAGTTTGCAGCAACTTGGATCCCAGTGTAAGGGTTCCGTGGGGGACAGTAGAATGTGTGGAGTAGCCTGCACCACTTGGATTTGCTGGACACAGCCAGATCTGTTGGTTATAGTGGTGCAGAAGCCCAGACCCCCAGGTTGTCCATGGGCTACAGTCAGGGGCAGTCTGTGTGCCCAGGTTCCCAGGGCAGCTGGGTCTCAATTGTTGTGTGTGGGTAGTTCACGTGCTGGGGTGATTGGAAGTCAGCATGTCTGTGGAATAGAGGGGAACCTGCTAGGGCTCTTGGGTTCCTACCACAGCTGTCATACTGTTGTTGGAGGAGACATAGGTAACTTCACCCCCTGTCTCCCTGGCCAGGGCTACAGCCAGGGCAGCGCTGTCCTCAGAGAAGCAGAAGGAGAAACACCTATGGGGAAAGTAGGGAAAGATGTCAGAAGTGAGAGCCAGAGGTGGGTGCAAGTATGCTGGGATACACAGGCTGGAGTTAAAGCTGGGGGAAGAAAGCTGGGGTGCAGAACAAAGGAGCAGGAAGAAGAGCAGGGAGTGAGGGAGTGGGTTGGAGCTGAGGTTAGACAGGGAGCTGGCAGAGGAGAGCTGAGGTTTGGCGTAGAACTGGGATCAATCTCATGGGGCTGGAGCAGAGCTTGGGGGCACATTGGGGTAGACAAGCCCTGTGCCTCAGTCTCCCTGCTCACTCTGGGAAGAATGCCTTGGTTGTGAGAGTAGTAAGAAAAGACTCCCTCATGGGGTCTTGGCACTGGAGAGCTGAGTTGACTGAGAAGGGTCTTTGGGACACTGAAGGAGCCCAAGGATTGGAACAGACACTGATGCACAGGGACCCTCACTGGGGATGGAAATGACTGGACAACCAAAGGGGAACTGGAGGACTCAGGACAGAGAATCCCCATTACCGGTGGCTGTTGCGATGATGACAGACCTCAGCTGCGATGGCTTCTTTGTCAGAGGGTAGCCCAGTCATGAAGATGAAGAGCTGAGAGACAGGGAACATGAGTAGTGGGGTCCTCCACAGGGACCCCAAAATGGAGAAAGCAAGCCCTTAAACTGGAGAGAGAGGGGCCAAGGAGAGAGATGCCCTGTACAAAAACTACCCCAGGGAGAGCTATTCACTGAGGGACAGAAATACTCAAAATTATAGACCCACTTCTCCATTCCCTGACATACACCAGTATATTTCTGGTGGGTCCTTTCACCCACACTACGGTGTCCTCTCTCTCCCCAGGACACCTGCCCCGCCTCCCCTCCATGTTCCTGACCCAGACCTGGCGTGCATGCCCACGGGGGCGGGGGGTACTGTAGACTGAGCGGAGGGTTTCAAGCAGGTTGGTGTCACCCAGACTGGAGCCGGTGGAAGGAATGCGCCACAGGGCATTGGTCAGGTTGTCCTGAGTATATTCAACACTTTGCCTGCAGGAAGCACAGCGTGTTTGGAGCTCCATGCCCTCCCTAGTTCTCCCTGAGACTCTGTCCTGTAGCACTTCCCACAGCTATGCCCCAGGTTCCTCTGCAAGTCCCTACCCCACACTAGTTCTTAAAGAAACCTTGTTTCATAATTCCTACAGGACTGCTCAGCAGAACCGCAAGAGGTTCTATTCCATAAAGCCAAGATCCCATCCCAGAATCCAGCCTTGCCCTACAAGTAGTCAGTCATGCCATCCAGCCCATACCCACTAGCCAATTTCAGAGCATGTACACCTGCTCTCCAGCATCTAACTCTGCCCGATAGTGCCCATTTCAGTGCCACAGCACCCAACCATGCCCCACAGTATCCAGCCATACCCACAAGGACCCTTTCCAGCCCCACAGCACCCGGTCTGCCCCATGTTTGCTCACGGGTAGATGCCCACAGACGCTGCTTCATAGCAGTAGATGTTGAAGTAGCAGCCCAGAGGCAGGCTTTTGAGGAGGAAGAGCAGGGAGTCCTGTGGAAAGACACAGTAGGCAGGTCTTGGGACGCACTTGTGGGGGGTATGGATACCTTTGACCGTAGACTCATCCTCCTAAAGTCTCTGGATTCCCCTGGAGGACCCAAGACAGTGTCCTGAACTCCCCTGGGCACCCAAGAAACTTCAGGACCATTTCAGGTCCCACCAGCCCCTACTCACATCTCTGTCCCTCTCTAAATGCCTGCTCTGGCTGTCAACCTGCTCCTCCACCCTGGTCCCTGCTCTGCAAGGGTACCTGGGCATGCTCAAGAAAAGTGGTGTCCAGGAGGAAGATGAACTCTCCAGACTGGCGTTGCCCAGGCACTGGCTCAGGAATGCTGGGTGCCAGTGTCACCAACACCATGGGATCACCAAGCAGGGAGCCTGGAGGAGATGGGAATGAGATAAAAGCCATATGGGAACCCTCCTCTTCATCCTGGTTCTGACGCTCATTGTGTTTTCAGCTTCCCCCATCCCAGAGGCTGTGATGCCCCATACTGGTACCTCAATACACTGCTGCACTGTCCACAAATTGCACAGCCCATATGTTTCAACCCAGTGACTCCAACAGAGCTGACCAGTGAGCTCTAACATAAAACTTCCTGCACACATCCTGCTGTATCTGATACCTCACCACAGTTTCTCCAGCATTCCACACTGACAACCCAGGACCTGAATGATTCCATGTGAATTGCCTTCCATTCCCAAACCAGTGTCCAATGATTTCTTATCCCCAGAATCCCCAGTGTCTCACTGTGTCACTATGCCTTCTGCCAGAGCTGCCCTTATATTCCCTCTCCACCTGCACTCACCTGGAGGGGCCTCAGGGTTTCCCTTCTCCACCACAGCACTGACTGCACTGGGATTTCCAAAATACACCAGCAGCTCCAAATCATGTTGTCCTGGGGGGCTGCCAGCCAGTGAGACCTGAAGAACATGTGTGGTCAAACACAGGAGGGACCAGACCCAACTTTGGACCAGGAGCACAGGCACTGATCCCAGTTTCTCATCACATCCCTTGTTTCTCAGTGTTGACGTACATCCCCAGCTACTCCTGGGATCCTTATACTCAGGAGAGCAAACCTGTGCAGTGCTGTGGTCCTGGGCAGTGTAGATCAAAGGGGTGAGGGAGCAGTTGGCCTGGACATTGGCTACTCCACGGGGTGACTGCAGGCTAGCGGTGAGCAGCAGGCTGTAGGGGAGGTGGTTACTGTGACAGTTCCAGGCTGCAAGGAGAAACATGGTACTAGGTAGGGCCCAGGCTGTCCCTGCAGGAGTGAGCAGGTGGACAGCATTTGGCATCCATATATATGTCATATGGAGAGAATTGGGGGTTATCAATGAGGTACTTAGAGGGGTCCATGAGTCTGTTTATGGGAAATGTGTGTGGGAGGTATGGATCCCCTCCTGGGGTACAAGGAAAGTTATGTGGATCTGTCTGGAGGCTGCACGGGGGGAAAATGTGGGTCCTCTACAGATGTAAAGTGAAGTTGCATCAAGTCTGTTCATAAATACATGGGGACCCTGTGGCCCTTTCATGTGGTGTGTGGCTGAGGTGGCAGGTTCCTTGTAGGATCGCTCACCGTAGAGTTGTGTGTAGGGGTGCAGTGTGTGTGGCAGCACAAACCGGGCTGCTCCGTCTGGCTCCCGTGACAGCTCCTGGACATAGCGTAGTGTCACGACCAGCTCCCTGCCAGGGGACAGTGTGCCCAGGAAGCAGGCAAACACCTTGCCTGGATACCTAGACTGATCCTGAAGGTATTCCAGATTCTCCCAGCTCCCTGTAGCCTCATGAAGCTGCTGGGCCTGGGTGGGAAGGGGAAGGACAGAAAGCTGATCACCAGGCAGACCATGGGTTGCTCCTCCCACACCCCTGTGGTGGTTTGCCCATTCATCCCTGGATGCTGGTACCTCATCCTGCAGCATGGCCTGGACCTTGGCATCCTCACTGCAGGCCTGGAAGGAGTACATGGACATTTGTGGGCCCAGGGGGAAGACAAAGAGGACTTCTGTGGAGATGGGACTCTTGTTCTGGTACGTGAGTTCTGAGGCCACATCAGCCACATAATCCTGGATAGCAACATCTACCACAGCACTACACAGAGGTACTGAGCAGAGGGGCATGTAGAGCCACTTCCCCAGCAAAAAGGATCCTGTTGCTGTAGAGAGACATGCAAACTTTCCATCAGGCACACATGAAGGACACAAAGAGGTGCTTGGGACTGTTTCAAATATTTGACTGCTCCCACCCTGGAGACCAAGACCAGGTGACCAATGTTAGCAAGGGTATAGTGTGAGCCTGGCACAGAACAGTGTTTGCCTCCCATCCTCTCAGGTTCCCTTTTCCTCCAGGTCTCTGTTTCCCATCCATTTCCTGTGGAAATGCTCTTGATTGTTCCCATCCTAGTTTCACTCTGGGAAGATCCAGTCCAGCTATTTCCCTCTAAGGCTGCCCAACCTCCTCCTTTCTTTGTTCCACTTTGGGAGCACCCCACATCCCCCAGACATCCCTGTCTGATCCCCAGCTCACTGTCATGGGTGTAGGATTTTCCTAGAAGTCCAAAGCTTTGATGCCACATTTCCGGGGACCTGCAGAGAAGGAAGGTCTTATGTAAGAGGAGAGATCCACACCAGGCAGCCCCTATTTGGTGATCCCTTGTCATTTGCCCATTCCTACACACATAGGGAGAAGCCTCAACCCACTGTGCACAGCCAGAGAAAACCCAGAGATTCAGATATGCCTGTTCATTAGCACTGGGATGTCACCAGGAGTGTCTCTGCAATGCAGAGTTCAGCAGCACATCCCCACCATGGGAGAATCTTGAAGAATCACAGAATTATCAATGGTTTAAGATTGTTCAAGCCCCCTGCCATGGGCAGAGAAACCTTCCACCAGACCAGGTTGCTCCAAGCCCCCTCCAACCTAGCCTTGAACATTTCCAGGGATGGGGCATCCACAGCTTCTCTGGGCAACCTGTGCCGGGGCCTCACCACCCTCTGGGTAAAGAATTTCCTCCTAGTATCTAACATAATCTCCCCTCTTCTACATGAAAATCATTCTCCCTTGTCCTACCAGTATCTGCCCATGTAAAAGTTGCACATCATTGTTTTTCTAAGCTCCCTTTAAATACTGAAAGGCCACAACAAGGTCTTCCAAGTGCCTTCTCCAGGCTAAAAGTCCCCAGCTCTCTGTCTGTCTCCAGAGCAGAGGTACTCCAGCACTCTGAGTATCTTCATTACCTCCTCTGGACCCTCTTCAAGAGGTGTGCTGGACCCTCTTCAAGACTTCTTGTGCTGAGGACCCCAGACCTGTACACAGTGCTCCAGGTGGGGTCTCATGAGGGGAGAGCAGAAGGGGACAGTCCCCTCCCTTGACCTGATGGCCACATCTCTTTTGATGTAGCCCAGGATGCAGTTGGCTTTCTGAACTGCCAGCACACATTGCTAGCTCATGTCCAGCTTTTCATTCACCAGAGAAATGAGAGATAGCAAGGGGAGAAGGTGTGAAAGAAAGACTGGATAGGTGGATGGACGGGGGGATGGATGGAAGGGACTGGCAGTTAAGGCTAATTTTAGGACAGATGGATGTATGGGCGGACAATCAGAGAGACATAAGAATTTTTGTTGAAATGGATGGATGGGCAGGTACCCATCACAAACAGTTTTGTGTGAATGCAGCTGCACTAGGAATAGCTATTTTGAGGATATGTTCATGGAGTAGTTTGTGAGAGCAGGTTGAAAGTCCAGATAATAATGGGAATATGATGGAGAGAGAAATGAGGCCAGGTTCAGGTATTCCATGATTGCAGAGCAATTCCCTGAAAGGCAGTGGAGGGAAGGTGTGATGTCTGGCTGTCTTCAGGCCAATGCCAGAAGGTGAAAGGGAATGCCCTCCATCCCAAACCCTTCCAAATGTCTCTGGTTCAGACACATTTGCCTCAATTTCCCCAGTTTCTGCTCTCGGATGTCAGGTGGAAGCACCAGAAATATCCCTACCCTGCCATCATGCTGACAGGGTGGACAGCCAGAGCAAATATGGTATAAGTCCTGGGGGGAACAGGGGTGAGGGATGGTCAGGGGGATGGACTGATGAGGCACCAGCTCCCCAGTAAACAGGGACAATGCACAGAGAACAGGATCAGAATAATGAAGTGAAGCACAATCAAGCAGACACTCACCAGAACCAAGGCCAGAGCCAGCAGGGAGCGACTGACGGAGGGAGAGATGGAAGAGGAAGGGAGAGAGAGATGGAAAGACAGAGCGAGAGGTGTCCGGGCAGACAGGGAGATGCAGTGCTACGTCAGCTGAGGGGCGACTGTGATGGAGAGAGGCGGGGGCAGCCAGACGGACGGACGGGCCGGCGGGGAGGCAGGGCCGGGGGCGGAGACAGAGCGCTGCAAACCTTCTCCGAGCAGCTGGCGCTGAGTTCCGTGCGGGCTGTGGGGATCCTGGATATCCGGGAGCCTGGGAGGTTGTGGGATGGGGAAGGGTGAGGGGCCATGCCCGGTGGAGGGGATCTGACCGGGTCCCTGGATCCTCCTCCCCGCTGTGCTGCGGGTCGCGGCATCGCACGGGCTGAGTGTCCTCCCGCCTCAGATTGATCCGGGCACGGCCACGGACTGGACCGCAGAGCCCTCGGCAGGACCGAGTCTTCCAAATCTCCCCTGCCAGGCCTTTCCACTCTGTCCTCACATCTGACACAATGGGCAGCGGCTGCCAAGGGCCCCTGCAATCAGACTAGTCTCTTCTGTGTCATCCAGGGAGGTGGCACTCGACCCCCAGGAACCTGTCTCCTGCCAGGACTGCAGCGCTGGCTACGGATTTGGAGGTCCATTCACTGATTAGTGCCAGGCTGTTAATCAGGCAGTGGATTGCAAAGAAGCAAAACTGGCCTGCTGGCCAGCTGAGGAGTGGGAAGAGTTGGCAGACAAGCTCAATATATACCAAATACACTACATTTGACCTGGGTGCTTCTTCTCACCTACTGAGTTGGGATGGTGCATCTCCTCCTTCCTCCCAGCCAGCCCACACTTGTCCCTCCCTGGCACCAGCCCCTGGCTGAGACAACCCACCTCACTGCTGGTGTCTAGACACTCAAGGGGCCAAGTTGCATTTGACTTCAGATATGTTGCTCCCAGAGCACATCCTGACTGCCCTTCACTCCCACACTGGGAGTGTGCAGAGCACTGAGCTCTTGCTTCTCCAGCAGACCTGGGCAGCTTCCCTCAATCTGCCTCTCAGGACTGGTGTGATTCTCAGATCAGACCACTCCAAGGGCTATGCTGACAGTGTGACAGCTGTGACCAGCACAGGCAGTTCAAGATGCCTTTGTCCAGGTTCTGCCTTTGTTCAAGTTCTATCACAGTGTGTCTGATATCAGTACAACCATGGACAGAAAGTTCTCTGAGGAAGAGAGTGAACCAACATTCGTGTGCTGCTGGTAGATGAGACCCATGACTTGACCTTCAGGAATTGGTGGAACACTCTGTTTTGTCTCCAATAGTTCTGATGCTTATGGGTAGGCAAAGGAGTCCCATGTGTAGATGTTACATGCTGCATCTGAGCAGCCAGGGAACATCTTCTTGCCTCTTGGATCGTCCTTTCCTCAGCACAGGGGATGAGTAAGTGGCACACTTGGTCAAAAAGGGCCACAAACACTGAGCTGCTGACCTCTTAACCCAGCTTCACCTTCCCAAAACTTCTGTCCAGCTGGATGCACAGTTGAAGATTCTCACAGACTCATGACTTTGTGCCAGTGAGTGGTTTTCAGGTACTGAACCTCCAGTATCTCTCCTCTGAGCAGGTACTGAACCTCCAGTATCTCTCCTCTGAGCATCTCTGGAGGATGTCAACCCCCTTGAGTCTGGACCTCTTTTAAAGTGCAAGCTCAGAAAGGAGAGGAACTGAGGTGTGCAGAGACTGTGGTTCTAGGTACAAATCCATGGAGCTATTTGGGGCACTATGTTTCCACTGGTTTCTTAAGGCTGGACAGGCCCAGAAGATTTGAGTGTGGAGGCCCTTTCAGGGAACAGCAAAGACCAGCTGCTGCTCCAGGGAAGGGGAGTTGGGAGCCAAATGCACCAGCTGGGTGGGTGGGAGCAGTGACTTCAAGAACACAGAACCAAGATGCTGGAGGGTAATTCAGGGTCAGAACTGGTTCCAGAAAGAGGGACCAGGATCAGGCAGAGTCAGTGGTCACCCAGCAAGTTGGGTAACAGTGGGGACAGGCCCTTGTTTCTTGCTTTCTTCTCAACAGCTCATATTGGCAAAGGAACTGGCCTTGTACTCAACCGTCTAAACTGCTTGACTGAGCCAGCTGAACTCCAGGAGGGACACATGCTCCAGATCTTGAGTGACTACACCCCAAAGACTGACGTACAGTACAAGTTCTGTATTCTTAAGCTACTTTTGTTCAAACTTGTACCATCCACCCAGACCTATTGTGGTGTGAATAAGCTTCCAGATGTGCTTCTCTCCCTCAGCTGGCAACAAAAGTTATCTGATGTAGGCTCATTTTCTTTAAGAAGTCCCACTAGCAAGTTTTCAGAAACTTTGGGACTTTAAGATAGTTTCCATTCAAATGGACAGAGGAAGGGAAGGAGTCAAATGGAGGAGAACTGATTCCTGCTTCTCCGTACCTTCCAGAAAAAATGACTCTGGTAGAAGTGATTTTCACACAGTTGGGAGCAAGCCTTCCAGCCTTTCTACATGTTACAGAAATCCTATAGTGAAGCAAATCCCATTGGTACTTACCAATTTGAAAGAGCTTAATACTCACCATAGTGCATCACTGCATTGTATCTTGGACTGGACCCTCTTCACTGCTCCCTCATACTCCCCATGCCTTATTCAAGGACTCCAGCTTGCAGACATACAGGTTTTACAATCACAGCATTTCTATTAGGGAAGACAACTTCTCTCACATGTCATCAGTGTGAAGTCATGGTCATCCATGCCCAGAGAACTGTTCTTGGAAGGCAGGGTTAACTTCTGGGTGTAGACCAAAGGACCATATGGAGTCTTGTGGGTCTTGTTCAGCTTGTAAATAAGGGTTGTAAACTTTTTTAAGGGCATATCGAGTCTGAAACATGATTTGCTAGTAATCACAGGCCAAAGCAAAGTCTCAGACTCTTTCTGAAGATAGCAAGCAGGCTTTGAAACTTTAAGTAGACTCTCTGTAGAGTTCCTGAGCTAGATTAGACTACAGACAAGGCAAGGACTACCCAAATCAGGATAGAGCACCAAGGCTAAGGGGATGTCTGAACAGTGCAACAAAAATGAAGCCTGGACACAGATATGTTACCTGCATAGGTAGACATCAAATACTGCAAGGTAAGGGATGAACTTCAGTTTGTGATAAAGGTTGAGAAGTTCAGTTGTATCACCCTAAGTACCTTTTACCACCTGGGATGCTCCAGCCATGCAGATAAGTTTGGCAGATAGCAAAGCCCTCTGAATAACAGCTGAAAGTTGTGGGAAATAACTTCCAGAGCCACATACCATGTTAGAAACCCATATTAGATGACTAAATCCCTTCCTAAGTCAGCTGAGGCATTCAAACTCCAGAGCTGGGAATGGAAAGAAAGAAAAAAGTAGGATCAGTAGGGTAATGGGTAAGAAAAGCATCTCCTCAGTTCAGAAACCATATAATGGCACAGTGTGCAATTTCTTCTAACAATTCGGCACGAGCACCAGACCAGGACAAAGAAAACTACAGTATAAAGGGAGTGTGATTCATCATCCCAACATCTGGAATTCTGGAGTACGTCCAGAAATGTCTCTGGCAACAAATTGTTCAACAGCTCTATCTCAAGAGATGACTTCGCCCTTTGGTCCGTAACTCACTTGAACCCAAGGAGCTCCCTATGCTCCTTGTCCTCCTCCCAGGGCCCTCTGACAGTTTGTCACAGACCCAAATGGTCTTTTGATATTAAATCAATCACAAGAACTACAAAATCCTCAGGGGTACTTGAACAGTAAAGGTTATTTATTTCTTCAGCAAAGTTTGAGAAACTCGTTGTACTTTCAAAATTTGTTCTGCTTTTTCGATGTGTAAATATTTTCTTTCTAAAACATTCTTGTTATACTGTTATTCCACCCATGACCATTCTTATTCTTTCTGCTTTCAATAATAATTCACACAAATGTTCATAACATAAGGGTATATATGGATTTTCAGTAATAGAGTTTAAACATGACTGATGTGGGTTTGAAGGCTCTGGCCTGATCCAGTCTATTTTAAGATGTAAAATTCAGTTGCCAAAGTGCAAAATACATGTATATGCACAGCTAAAACACAGACATTGAAAGAACACAGTTTAGGAAAAATAAATCATTTTAATGTGACAAATATAAGCAGCTTCTTGGGTTTTTTGACTAATAATGGGAAACAAAGTAGTACAGAAATTAAATTATAAGATGAATAGGAAAATTACTTGTAAAGATCTTGTTTCAGACTGAATATTCTATTTCCACATTATTCCAGCTTCCTTTTCATAGTCTGAAAGAGATGCCTTCATACCAGGGTAAGTGTCCAAGAGCAGAAAGGAACAGGGTTGCAGAAGAGGCAGCTTTTCAGTTTCCTCCAACTAAACGTCTTGTTCACTTGTGGTTTGGCTGGGGTTTTGTAGTACGGGTGAAGTCAAAAGTTTATGGCAAGGTCTGTCTTGAGAAAAAGATATTATCTACATTACTTCTGGCCACTGAAGTAAAATTTAGATGAGAAGATACTGAGGAAGTAACAGGTTCAATTTCCTTTAGTGTTTGCTTGTTCATCAGCACCCTTTAATCTGTGCAGTAAAAGATAGTGTTTCAATCAGCAAATGAAAAGGAGATGAAATCCCACATGAGTACCTTGTGTCTCTTTAGAATGGGCAATCTGACTTGGCTTGTGGAGAGTATTTTCCTTTCCAAATGCTCTTTCTGTCCTGACAGTTGAAATCCAGTGTAAGGTTCCAGGCATTTTAGCTGCTATTTAATTAAATACATCCACAGAGATGAATGAGGCCTAAATAGGAAGATGGACAGCTCTAGTTCAAGGCTGAACTCAACTAATGGGGTATAAAAAGGAAAAGGAGGAATTAATGGAAATAACCAGTTTGTAATATAGCTAAATAACTTGTCCATTATTGTGCCAGGCTCACCAATCAAGAAGTCTCTAATTTTTAATCCCTGACAAGTTCAAACTTTCCAGGTGACATGAAGTGAGAAGTGTTTACTTTGTGTAATAGAGATGATGGTATAAAAAATATGGGTGGAACAAAGTAATAAAGCCCATTAATTTTTTGCAATACCTACTGTGGACTCTGTAATAGAGGAGGGTACAAATAGGAAGAATA